TTTGGAGGCAGTTGGTTTTACCAGATTACTGAGCAGCTTTAGCTATTTAAACCTTTTCTAGGCATAGTACCCATAGATAATACTTGCCACATATACATGCACAGTGTCTTAATTGCTTCATAGGGTCTCCTATACATTAGGAATTATTTAAGACAAATTTAAGACAAGCATTCTTTTTTGTACCTATCAAAATACCTTTTAAATAAGTACAGGAACCAATAAGTTCTTCCTGTTTCAATCTAGTTGATGTGCTAGCATCATGTAATTTTCATCTGACACACTTTCCAGGACTGACAGGGTCTGGGTGTGAACATGTCCTTCGGCACAGTCAAAAGCACGTGATTCAAGTCAGGGAAAGGCAGTCACCTCTTTGCAGAGCTGAACTTATAGCCTCGTGTTTCTGGGGCCATTATGTTAGAATACATTAAAATAAAATGTCAGACCCTCAACCAGTTTCAAGGAACTGAACCAGAGAATACATCTCAGTACTGATTTCTCAGACATGGCTTATGCTTCTGACCTTACTGTCTATGTTCACAGTAGAAATGAAAGCAATGTAGGAGTAGCTTCAACAGCTCTCTACCATCAGCAGATTGCTTTTTTGGCCAGAGAAACCCTCAAGGAATTCCCACCTCAGTTGTCAGAGTCCTCTGGCAGATCTAACTGCAAATGGCTGGAGTGGATACCACGAGAAGGAAAAGAAGACATCTTCAAGGAGATTATGGTTAATCTGACTGTTTGGATAATACATTGTGTTAAAAAAATATCGTGTATCAGGGGTAGTTCATGAGCTCAGTAGAAAGCCCAGTCCTGTCAGGTTTGGATTATCAGTAAAAAGAGAGAAGAAGTTCTACAGGAGGAAGGTAAATCCTATTTTCTCTCCTATTTTGTTTAAATTTTGGAAAAGGGAGCAGTCATAGTCATGGAGGAATTACAAGAAGTATTAAAAGTAGTCCTGACCCGATAGGGTAGAAACAGCCGCCACCAAAACTGGAGGAGGTTTTGATCTGACATACTCGGAACTCCACATTAACTAGTCAAGATAACTTCAAATCAGGATCAACTCTCAGATCTGAGTTGCAAAACTCTGCCCCTTTTTTCTTGTCCCCACTTTTTTCTCCTTGAATTGATACTGGAACAGGTTGCCCAGAGAAGTTGTGGATGCCCCATCCCTGGAAGTGTTCAAGGCCAGGTTGGATGAGGCTTTGAGGAACCTGATCTAGTGGAAGGCATCCCTGCCCATGGCAGGGAGGTTGGAACTAGGTTATCTTGAAGGTCCCTTCCAACCGTAACCATTCTATGATTCTATGATTCTATGATACCAAGCTGCAGAGAAATTCTGAGGGAAATGCCATCGCGGTGGTAACGCGCAGTCAAGCCGGTGATGCTGTGTAGCACAGCAGCACTGCAGACAGTCGTGGTTCTGGAATGGTGAGATGAGTACATCATGTAAAAATGACCGATTTCAGAGGGTGTGACAGGTACACTCACAGAGCTTGTTCCGGTCCTCAAACTATTACTGTAGTTTCCACTTTAAATATGGAAATCTCATTTCTAAATTAGGAAATAACTGTTAGTGTGTGCTCACTGTATTTAAAATGTCTTGAAATTACATGATCTGCATATAGATTTTGGGCTGTCTGTAACTTGTCCTTCTAACTTTACTCTCTACAAACATCTCAAATTACTGGGGCAGGGTGGGTGCCTTAGGTTGAATTTGTCATTTTTCAAAATACTTCTGCAAAAAACATCAATGCAAATTTTAAATACTGAACAGTTTTTGAATTCCTGTTTTCTTGCTGTTTTGTTTGTAACCCTGATTTTGTTTTATTTACCTTCAGAGATATGGTATTTTCACAACATCTTTTCCAGTTTGAATTCAATATCTAACGTATCCTTCTGCAGAGGTTGAGAAGTATGCATTAGCGGGTTTTTTTTTGTCAGCTGCAGACAATGCAACTGCTGCAGAGATGCACTGGGAGAAATCATGTAAACTGGATGAATGGCACATGAAATTATGCCACTGTGATGACTTTGAAGTGTGTAATAAATACAGTCCACAGAAATAAATCTAGATGGGAGAAATGACCCATGGAATGTCTTTACCCTACACACACACACGCATGCATTACCACCAAAAAAAATCACTCAGAGCGCCTTGGCACTGAGGGACTCATTTATACCAATTGTCCAAGACGCCCCAAGGAACCGAGTCCTTAACTTGGGACATACCTGACGATCAGCCTGTCTAGGGGACACTAAATTTCATCTCAGGGTGAGCCCTTGTCTGGATGTTTCTGTATCCACCTTTCCAAGAGCACGAGCCTCACAAAATGTTTGGAATGCCCTTCCCTTTGTACAGACAAACTAGGACAAGCCAGCTTAGATATGACTCATTGTAATTATTTAAGGAGTACTTCAAGGAGTCATTCCTTGTGCTGGTGCTTGTGTAGTCTCTCTCAGAGCTGTAAATCCACTACCACCATCTTGCTTATTTTTACTAATAGGAGAGGGAAGAATTTGTACTTCAAATGACAAGTGAATTTGGAAGTAGAAAGTTGTATGGTAACTACATGACAATTATATTTTGATTTTTCAAATAAAAAGAGTTGAACCATCTTTCCTTTAGAGTACAATTCTGGAAATCCAAGCACAGTATGTCTTCGTTAGTGACAGGGACCTAAATGGTGAAGCAGTAGACAGCGAAATCCCAGCCTTATCAAAATCAATACCGTTCTCTCACTGACTCTCAAGGAATGAGGATTTCACTCCAGTGAAACTCACCGTCAGTCAAGCAATCTGATTACACAGAGAAATGTAAACTAGAGGTAAGGATTTAATGATGTTGAATCTAGACCGTATATAAAAACTGCTAGAAAAAATACGTGATAGTATCTTGCTACTATCTTTTTATAATAGTTTGCAAATAAATACATATTTTCTGAGGCTCATGGCAAGACTCGAATTACAGTAGTTCGTGCTGAGTATGACTTTGTTGCAGGAGTGGCACAAACGATGCTTGTTTTTCCAGTGGCGTGAGGCTATCTGAATCTGGTCCTGTGAAATTTCAGTTCAAAGTAAATCCAGATGGATAAAATCAAGAATACTGCTGAAATGCAGAGTGACTGGGCAAAAATGAAGAGGGAAGGAAGGAGTTTGGATTATAAGACTGAAACAAAAGATCTATGGACATATAAAACAATAAAAGACAATTAGAAAATATATTTATACTAAATTAAAACTTTATTGACTAATGTTCTCCAGACAACATGATCCGACGGACTATGGTTGCATACATGCAATGAAGTTGAACACAACAGTAGTTTAACATGGAATGTCAAACAAATTAATATAATGTATTAAATGAAACAATCGATCTGTGTTGCTGCAAAATGAAACCAAGCTATGTATTTCCTTGGTCAATCTGTGTTCAGCTAAGAGACTATGCATTTGAAGAAACTGGTAGATTTCTTTAGCATATATTTCAAATAAATTAGCTAGAATTGTACTCTTTAAAAATCCTTTCAACTTCACTTGCATTTCAAACAAAATCTAAGTGTAAACACTAAAGTTGCTAGAGCCATCTATAAAGACCTAACTGTCAAACTTGGAGTGGACATTACAGTTCAGTAAATGTGAATATCTAGAACAAGAAAAATACCAGTTACTGCATAAGTCATTTAGGCATATTATTAATCCAGCACAAAGCATTTCTTCTAAGTTTCTCACATAAAAGACTAAAGCTTGCTTACAGTACTACATCTTCTATCATTCAAGCATCATTATTACCTATCAGGGAGATTGGCCAGATGACCTAATGGGTCTTTCCACCCCTAACTTCTACAAAAGAAAATCATTCATGCCAGCAAGAACATGGTTCGCTACATCTTGGGCTTAATCCTGTAGCCTTTGTTCAGGCAAAACTCTCACTCTGACTTAAAAGAGAGATTTTCCAGAGCAAGACATCCAGGATTAGGCCCTTTTTATTTTTTATTTTTAAAAAAGCATCCATTCAGGATACATGGAAAATATTTTATAGAATTAAAAAATACAATGACATGTGCTTCACTTGCATTTAAGGAATCAGAGAATGTAAACACCATAGTGGCCCACATCTTCACAATATCCATGAGGACGTGTCAACTGTAAGTAATCTGTGTGCGTTTATCTCTCAATGTATGCTTCTGAGGGTGTTTCGTGTATACCTTTACCTCCACACCACACACATATGTACACCCTTAATGTAGAAAAAGGTGTGATAAAATTCACTAAAGGCAGTTGCTTGCCTGTCTTAACGCTTAAATCTGCAAGTGGCAGCAAACTGGGTTTCATACGATGCTAATTAGACTGTACGTGAGCAGCAGGACACAAATATTGCTGTGGGCAAGAGAGCGTGGTTGCCACTTCTACGAGTGTGGAGCCATCCCACTTACGCACATCACAAAATCTACCTGCGTCAAGGGCTGGAAAAGCAGGTGACCAAAGCATTTCTTGGTGGGCCATGTCTGAAATTCGAGTTGAATGATTCAAAGGCTGTAGATTGTCCTCACAGGAGCCTTTCGACACCTGGAGAGCCACATAGAAAAGTTTACCTTCAAAGTGCACTTTCTAAGAATGGAATGTTCTTGACAGGGAAATGATCAGAGGCTTTTTTGCTTGTTGAATAGGAAAAGTGTTTTTATCTTCAGGCATCACTTCACCCTGACAAATGTGAGTTTAGTTATTATTGGGTTCTAGTATTACAGAAGATCCTTTAGAAACAAACACGATAGCACACACATACACATACACTCAGATATTTACAGCCTTTCTAGAAAAACAACCCCCTACCTTAGTAATGACTACCTATCTTTTTCCATTTTTTTTCTTTTTTTTTTAGTATTTAAATTCTTTAAACCAGCTACATTAAATACCGATGTGTATGGTACCACCCCACACCAACCCCACATCCCCCCCAAAAACCAGCAAGTATCTTAAAAGTTTGTTGGCTTGTTTGTTTGTTTTTATGATTGTTAAAATCTCCTGCTCGAGACTGTTAAGTACCACCTCCCCTGGAAGAATATCAGCGCTGACTGCACCTTCCAAGGCACGTCGTTTCATAGTTGAGCAAGTAGCTGCAGCTGGAAGCTTAGATCTCCAGGTCATCAGGCCGAGGTCTGCTGCTGGCTCGGCTGCTGGCTCTGCTGGGAGGCCTCTGGTCCACGATGGTGAGGGGTTGCAGCTCGTGTCCCGACGCCAGTTTTTTAGTGTTCTGGTGCTCGTCGGAGAAGTCGAAGGGCTGGGCATGCGAGTTGGAGATGGTGCTGCCAGCCTGCCCCATTCTGTTCTGCTCCGCGCTGTAGTTGGCCCAGTTTTGCTCGCTGGCTTGCTTATTGTAGTTACGACAGGAGGAATTGTTCCTGTCTCCGGTAACGAGCTTGTACCCTGGGGGAGACATGGGAGACAAGGGGGCGGTCGGTGAGGAGCAGCCATTGTAATAAGCATATTTGGGGGAGCTGCAGTCCTTGGAAGGGCTCATGGCACCGCTGTGGGAGTAGGGGTCGGTTTTCCCTTTCACGCGATCCTTGACGCCCTTGAAGAACACGTAGAAAAGCTCGATGATGTTCAAGGCAAGAGACACCAAGGACACGACCAGCATGAAGAGGATGAAGATGGTTTTCTCAGTTGGACGGGAGAGGAAGCAGTCCACTCTGTGCGGGCAGGGCTCTCGCTCACAGGTGTAGATGGCGCTCAGGCTGAACCCGTAAATGTACCACTGTATCAGCAAGAAAGCCACCTCGAAGACAGACTTGAACAGGATGCTGATGATGTAAGTACGGAGCAGTCCCCCACGCATCTTCACTTTGCCATGCTCTTCGATCCCATACTTGAATTTCTTAATTTCTATTTGCTTGAGGTGCATATCCACATTCACACCATCATTTTGGACCACCTTGAGCTCTTCTTCTCTTTTATTCAGCTTCTCTTCTTTCCTCATTACATAGAACACGTGTGCCAGGTACAAAAGTGTAGGTACAGACACAAATATGATCTGCAGAACCCAGAAACGCACATGGGAGATGGGGAAGGACTTGTCATAGCAGACATTCTCGCAACCAGGCTGTTGAGTGTTGCACCGGAAAGCAGACTGTTCATCTCCCCAAGCAGACTCGACTGCTGTCCCCAGTAGCAAGATTCGGAAAATAAAGAGGACAGACAGCCACACTTTCCCTCCTGCAGTAGAATAGGCTTGAACCTTGTCAAGAAGTTTTCCCAAGGCACTCCAATCACCCATCTTGACAGGATGCTGGCTAAAGAAGGATACAAAGAAAAAAAAAAAAGTGATGGTTAAGCCAAAGCTTTAATACCTTCGATACAAGGAATCACAGATCAATGCTAACAGAGAAGTGATGTCCACTTTGTTTTAATCCATGCGTTTCACGCAATCTGAAGAGAAACCAGAGTTTTAGTTAGTCTGCAGGTGGAGTGAGAAGTCAGGGAAACTGAAAAGAGAAAGTTACATATAATGTCTCAGAGCACAATGAAAAATCAGGTTCTAATTTCACTCCAGCTTTCAAGAAGGCCATGATGACCCTCAGTTGCCACTGTGATTGGCTCAGCTTCCTTGGTGGCACCCTTAGTTCAATCATCTATGATCTACACCTGCCTCAGGTAGAAAACAGCCGTGACACAGTGCTGAAGCAGGGTGTGGAAGTATGTACTGGTACTGCCTGAATATGCTGGGAGTAAACAAAAGATTTCTCTCTTTCAGTGTGGATAGTTCACGGCAATTTTTATGTCCCCTCTTTAAGAGAATGAGAAAGGAAACCACAGTAGAACCAAAATACAAAAGGTGATACTAAGTTAATGTTAGGGTTAGATACCTAAAATTTCATCATTGCAAAATGTGTGCTATTTTTCCTACAGCAACATTAAACAGCTCTTGCATATCACTACATTGCGTGTAATACATTTAAGAGTATAGTTCCTAATGATGCCAAGTTTACACTACACTCAACTTCAGAAAATCTTGCTATCTGAATAAAGATTATACTTTAGTATTTGCAGCACAAAGATCAAAGTTTGTATTCGTCACCTACACTTTTACGAAGGAACCAAAAATAGTAAATACATGAAGCATAGCTCAGCTCATGTTACCATATTGAAGGGACTAGTTTCCTGTTTATCTGTGGCTTGCTTAATTTATTGTCCTTTCAGCTTTGTATTTGCATCTTTTTGTATTTAAATTCCTTCATTTTGTTTTGAAAGGAAAAAAGATTTAGCAAGAAAAAAAAGGTAAATGAGGCCTTTCTGTTTTTAAGGCAACTCCTGGCGTGCAGTCTGCATTCCAAGTGTTTAACACTGCAAGTTTAAACTGTCTCTCTCTCGACTTGAGTTTTAAAGTGCGCATTTCTGGGACACAGGCAGCTTCTCAGGGATATCTGGAAATACACAGGAGGACATAAAAGAAATGAAATTGTTCACTTGATGAACAATTCCTAGGAAAAACTAAGTTAACTATAGGATTTTTATCAACTGGAGAACAGTAATCTTAGCTGCATAAAAACTTACATTTTAACTTGCCCCACATGAACAAGCATGTGAAATCGGGCACTTAAAAGGAAAAATAATCACAAAGCTTCCCTTTTAAAGCAGATGCTGCTGGATATAGGTATTTTTTCCGTGCATGCTGAGTAATCCTTTCCTGATATGAATAGTTTTTATAATGTCCAAACGACTTCCTCCCCATCGCATCATGGATCTATTCCCTAGCGAAGGTCATTTATCGAAAAAGCCCTTTCTGGATAATTCATAAAATAGGAAATTTTAGCACCGAGGCGATTTTCTTTCAAGAAGCAGTGAGTCACTGGAAATGCAAGATTGCAAGTCTGGCAAGCTCAATCATAACAATAGATGCCAAATAAAAACACCCTGTTCCTGCCATCGGAAAGAGTCTGAGAGAGTAATGGGAGACAAGTGTCTGAAGAGCTCGCTCCTATAGCTCCGAGACGCCAATTATCTTTGAACTCCTGAAAAACATCCCAGGGCCATCTCCTCCCTGCGCTTAGCCAGCCTGGTCAGAAGGTCACCTAATGCAGCGGCATGGAGACCCTTCCTCATGTAATTAGTTCTTCACAAGCATGAAGCCCCATCAAAGGATTAGGCCTGCTTCCGACATTTAAATCTGGAAGCCTGGACTGGGAGGATGACACATCCCTTCTGTCATCCCCAGCTTTAGTCCTTCCCAGGAAAGGCTAGTTTGTCTCTACGGGCTCGAGGTGGCAGAGAAGGAGCTGGGCACACGAGTGCGGAGGTCTCTGGAAAGGCTGGAATGAAATGTGACCACGTTCCTCCTCGGGCTGGGATTGTTAAAACAGAGAACAGCCTGTGACTATACAACACGTGAAGTTTGTTTTAAAGGCAAACTGTTTGCTCCGTGTCCTAGAAGTGGAAGTGGACAGAAGGAGCCTTTTCAAGTAACAGCTTCTTGATTTAATTAGTAAGCTTTCCGACAAGTCGAAACTACTGCATTAACAGACTTTCCTCAGACTCAACGTATTTTTTTACTGTCTAAATGTTATTTCAGATTGAAAGTTTGATTAAGAAAACAGAGGACGTGTTATTTCTAGGCAGTTATGTGTTGTTTGTTTTTTAATTATGCTCCACTCTGGTCCATTAATGCAAAGTGATTTACTTCAGCTTTGACCTACTTAATCCCACACCTGCAATATTTTGAGAATTTACTACTCATTTTTTAATTTGCTTCAGCATGCAAAAATGCTAAGCTTCATTTAAGTCCTCTGGCAATATAAACTCCAGGAGGAAACATTCCATGCTTGAATTACTCATACATAGTTTTGAAAAGCAACATTTTTTTTTAAAGAGATCAGTTACACACTAGCCTTCACCAGTGATAAAAACCCCCACATCAGTTCAAAACATTGTACTGTTAATCAGATAAACTTGTGGTGGCACAAATATATTATTCCTTTGCTTAAGTGGATTCCATTGCTTTATGAAACACAGTACTGTTTCGTTGTACGGAAAATTCATTCATTGGATCTAACTTGTTTACTTTCAGGGCACTGAAGGATCATACGGCTGATGATGAGTACGTGGGTTTCATGAGTTCTTATTGATTATTGCCTTACAGGACTATAACCTTCTTCTGAGACAGGTTGATGCCAGCCTAGTAAGCTCTTTAAAAGATGTGTTTCTTCCAGGTCCTACTGTGTGGTGGTAAAGATAGGAAAAAGAGTCACAGAGCAGCAGGAGATACGACAGAATTCATCTGCATGGGTTTTCGATGACCACATATATAAGAAGTTTGATTTGTAAGCCACAATTAAGGAATTCTAGAACAATTTTTTATGGATGCCGTTCATCATGTCATCTGGCTCATATTTGCCAGGAACAATAAAGCAAATTCAGTGCTGTGGTAAGATGCTCAGGTCTGACTACAGTGTTACAAGGTCTCATGGATGGAAGAGCAGTACAGGTTAGAGTGAGATCTAAAATGGGATTGTGTGGCTGAAGCAGTTGGGAAACAGGCTAAAGTTTTCGTTTTCCAACCTTTCCTACCTTTTTATGTGTGCTCACATATACATAAATAGCCAACAAAAGAGAGGATTCTGGACCTTGACCATCAACCGATTGACTATTTCCCAAAAGCAACCAGCCTTGCAGAGAAAGCAGCTGAGATGCACAAGTGATGCGGTTTGGATGGATTGGACTAGGGAAGGCTAATTTTCTGAAATCTTACAAAAATCAGCGCATGTCCTCCAGACATTCCCCTGGGAGTTCTTTTGTAGGTCCGTAGACGAACTGCAGTTCATTTCATTCACTGGACAACGATTACGCACTAAACAGTTGCAGCAACTAGAATTTAAAGTGTCATAACTGTGTGGTTTTTTTGTTGTCTGCTAGTATTGCTGGTGGTCAGCCACTGCTGGATTGATCCCATAGCCTTTGCCTCTCCTGTGCTGTACCCTCTCCACCTAATTTAATTCTAAAGCACAGTTGCAGACGCAACTGTAAGCACTTTCTTAGACGAGAATTCTCTAGTTGTACAAGTCAGGTCTGTGTTACTGCGCAGATTGATTCCTCTCCTGACTTACTCTGGAATTAAGATAAGAAACGCTGAATTCCCTGAGGAGGCCTTGGGCCCTCTGATAGTCCTGCTTGCAGATTTTGAAATCTGGATTTCTAGAACATACATGTGGCATAAACAACAGACCAGGTGCCTCCGTGCGAGATAAAGTCAGTGGACAACACGGGGAGGAGATACCAGAGACCGGGCAAAAAAGAGCAATGTATCTGATGAAACAGCTACATTGCTCAACATCATCTAACCTTCCTCATGCCCACAGGAATCCTTGGCCTAAACTGACGTTCATTTAAGAGACAAATAAAATTAATCTTTCAGGCTTGCATAACACAAGAGCTGAGATAACTTTACAGTGTTGGTCTGTTCGTGCTCCTGTGTGTAGAAGTATTCAGATTGATGTTGCAAATCAAATCTCTTGTGTCCCGCTCTCTTCCCTCTCCTGAACTCAGCCTGCTGCTCACCCTTCTCCCATTTGTATGCTTGTTAGGTATCGTGGGTCAGCGCCAGTGTTTGGCTTTGAAGTTTCTGAAGGAAACACTTCAGTAAACATCTCAAAGACTAGAGGCTTAAATTCCGCAGTGTAGTGTGCTGTCCAGATGTTAAAAATGGCAGGATGAAAGTTTCACGCAAGTCCTCCGGCTTGCTCCCTATGTGCGCGCACACACAGGCACACAAAAGTCAGGCACAGGGTGTCCGTCGCCCACTTTTGATCCCATTACCAGGGGTTTTCATCATAAATCTCACATAACAAAAATCAAAAGGAACTCCTCAGACTAAACGTGCCCCTTCGCGAGGCTCACTGGTTAACTCAAGGCAAAACGTGAGGACACACGTAAGCACACACTATTCTTGTTTAAGAGGACAACGTGTTACTCGATAAGATAGACTCTGCGCTTCGCCTTTCAGCTGAAGGCTCCTTTTCCTGCCTCCTCGTGTTGCTCTTTAACTCCTGGCAAGCAGCAGGCAACAACCGCTGTAAGGAACCGCTCCAAGTCTTGCAACGTAAAAAGCTTTTTAGTTCTCCAAGAGATGCTGCTCAAGCATTTTTTTTTTCCTTTGTCATTTTGGTATTTAAGCCTTCAAGGTAATATAAAGGGAATGTGTCATATTGGGATTATGACACATATTGTGGATACTCTTTCACAGTTGTTCCTAGGCAACTTTCGTCTGTACCTACCCAAGACTTTCACAGACATTGCCAACGTGGTAAAGCAAATCATGGTATCTCGCATTCCTTCTCTAAAATCCTTCACCGAGGTTGCTAAAACAGAGTAACTATATACAAACCAGGTTAAAAATCCGTAACCCACGTCTGGATTTTATCACATCTACTTTAAAAGAAAAGGGGGAAACTTATCAGGAAGACCACGTGAAAGTCACCACTCTAGTAGCTGCAGCATTTAACAAAGCACCTAATTAAGAACCTTGCTCTGCACAAACTATAAGGCATCAGTCAGGATTTCCATAGGAAAGCAAAATGTGTGGGGCAGAAAAGGGAAGCGCTCCGGATCAGGTCTCCCCATTAGTTAACTTCTGATGCAATTTCTTTACAACAGAGAAGACCGAAGCGCACCTCGATTTTTTTTTTTTTTTTTTTTTTGTCGGTAAAGGAGCTCATTTCGTCCGAGACAAGCACAGAGGAGCGATTTCACCCAAACACTAGCAACAAGTCTTTGCAACTCAGCCCTGCAGTTACAACTTCCCCGCAGTTTCTCCTTCAGTGGAACAAGGCTAGAAGTTGTAAAAGTGTAATGTTCGAAGAACGGTATAGAAATAACGACAAAAGCAAGCAAAGAATTCCTACAAGTTTGAACTCAGCACTTTAAGAGAACTTAACGCTTTTACAGATGTGTGTTTTAAACAAATTCAACCATCAGCGCAGTAACACAGTGTTCTTCGGCTGAAACGCAAGTGTTTTCAGAAAAAGTGATAAACAGAAAGGTGAAAAAGGAAAACTTTCAACTTACCCTTGCTGATCAGCAGCGAAACTGGATCAGAATACTTCTTAGGAGGGTTAAAGTAAAATGGAAGAGCGCGTTCAGGCGCTCGGACCTGTCTATTTAAACTTTAAAACTCTACTGCTGCTTTGTAGTTTTCATCTTCCTCCCCCACTAATGAAAGAAAACTGCTGATACCTCGTAAAAAGTTTTTTCAAAGTTGGAACCCTGGGAGAGCTTTTATCAAGTTTTTTATCCTCTGACTGTGAAAGAGGAGGGGAAAAGGAGGGGTAGCAGCCCAGGAGGAGGGGCGCGCTGCAAATGGAGAGGAGGAAGGTGGGGGAGGAGGGGAAGAACTGAAGGCACAGCAAAAACCAGCCGGGGGAAGAGGAGGGAGCCGAGGCACGAAGGTCCACTCTTGCTGATGTAACAAAACAAGTTTAAGGGCAGTCAGCAGCCACCCTACACCCCCACGCCCCCCCTCCCCGATCACTGAGGGCACCTGGGTGGCACTTCCTCCAAATCTGGGCTTGCCCGGGACAGATGAAATAACTCAGCTCTCTGGTGTGCACCAGGAGTTTCACTACAGGGAAAGGGAAAAAATGCATGAAAGGGATTACTGGGCAAACAGCGTGAATCTCCTGGATGCTGGGGCTGGACCGCAGAGCTGCTGTCTCCATTCCCTCCTTGCCACCACGTAGGAGAGGAAGCTCTCTCAAGCCCTCTCTACTTTTTGTTGCAAACACAGCTTTGTTTACTCAGGTCTGTTTCCTTTACGTGCACACATGAAAGTACACACCAGGAGCAGTGTGTTTGTTTCTACAGGAGATACCCATCACACAATTTTTATTATTATTTGTGTGTGTGTGTGTGTGTGCATGTGTGTCCATCCCATGGGAGAAACGGAGAAATGATCTCACATTCCAGGAAACTCTTTCCAGGAAACTTCAGAAAATGAAGCATAGTACAGAAAATCAGTTTTCAATAGTGAGAAGAAAGGCTCCTGGTAATTTTTGAGTGTGTTTTGCAGAACAAAAGCATGCTCCAAAACTGATCCATTCCATTAGAATGCAACTAGTTTGGCTTTGCTCCTGACCAGTCCCTGGTTAAATGCTCCTTGAAAAATGCCTCTTCGTTAGATCAGAGGTTAATTTATTTCTCTACCTATGTTAAGCTCCTCTCACATGGAACCCATACTGCATTAGGAATTGGTCTTGTACTTGTTCTCGTCATGAGGCACTAGCTCCTCTGTGGAACTGCTTAAGAGCTTCTCTAGAAGTATTCATGGTTAGATAGTTCTCAATGAAGTTTCATATTTTGGGCTGCACCAGGCTCTCTTGGGTTTCAGTTCATGTTATTCTCATGGGATATTTCTGGGCTCAGTAGAATGGATGAGTGTTTTTTCCTCTTTGAAGGCTATAAAGGAGGAGATAAGTTCAGTAATAGCCATTGAGAGGTCCTCTTTACAGTTTCTTCTTGAAATCATGAATATTACACTCTACAGCACAACCTAGATATTACTGCTTATTTTTCACAGCCCTTACCCACTGCTTTTCACCTAGAACTCTCCAGAGAAGAGAACCAAGGCAAGATCTTTGTAGAAAGATACTCAGCAGGGAGCTTTGAAGCTGGGAAACAAACACACTGTCCTGGTTCTTGCTCTGGAGCTGTTTGTAGCAGACCACACTGCCTCCTGTTGGAGAAAAAGAGCTAGTACACAGCTACTGTACACCTTCCTTCCTCCTTCCTGTCTACAGACGGCTTGCCCCCTTTCCTTTGATACTGGCTCTTAGTTTTGACAGCTTTTTTTAGTTTCAACAGTTGTCCAAGCCATATGACTGAAAGAAACTTTTTCTTCATGTTCTCAGAGTGTTGTTTTAAGGTTGCCTTTTCTCTTTACAGCAAGGGAGAAATGGAGTTTTGCGCTTAACAAGGCTGTGGGCTCTTCTTGAGAATTAAAAAATTGCAATATAGAAACCATAGCATTCCACTGCCCTCATGACTACGGTATAGGCAGTTAGCAGAGTACACTTAGTGCTCCTGCTACTGCCCAACAAAACACTGGTTATTCTAGAGCAAAGTACAAAAAATACCAACAACATGGCTACTTGTGTGCCGATGCTGAGACAATAAACAGATTTGGGATATTGTATGTGTTGGTGCTGAAAAAGCTACCCCTTCAGAAAGTAGCTTTATGCCAGGAAAAAAACCCTAAATTACAGCATGCTAGCATGAAATGCTATCGTTCGCTGTTGAAGCTGGTATGATTACAGGGTCCAGCTTGCCTGATCTTGCATTTTCCCATGTATCTTCCTGTATAGGCTTTGCAAATTTTAAAGCATTCTCTACTTAAAAGAAATTATGAGAAGTATTTCTCTACTTAAATAATCAAATAGTATTTGTGAGAAGCCCAACACTCTTAAAACCCATTTTTCAAAACTAAAATATATATATGTTAGTAACATGGGAAGAATAATTTTGCAGCAATAATAAGCATAACACTTAGCTTTGTTATGGCATTATCCACAAAAAAAAGGGAAAGTATTTCAAACTCTACTGTGATACTGTGTAGAATTAGGAAGAATTATTATTAATCCTGATAAAAATGCCTTGGAATATCTTTTAGAGTTTGGAAATACGTCTCCATGATCACGTTTCACAGCCTATTACCAGAACATATTCAGCTTCAGATATTGCAACGATCTACCATTTCACAAGATTACCATAAAGTCTCACACTCATTTGCATCGCAATGGAAATACACTTTTCAGATTGAATAAATGTCTTCACGCACAACCCCTCTTCAGCTGATGCTCTATTCAGCAAGAAAGCACAGAGGTGTCAGACCTGAGATATTTGTGAGTCTGTTCTTAGTTACGGACTAAGAGATGGGTAAGAAGATCACAATTAGATTTGAAGCCTTGCATTGTGGAACACAAGACTCTTTTTACACAAAAGAAATGAAGATTTTGGAGCCCAGAGCTCTCTGGGACCTATATTGCCATCCATTGACATTTTGCTTCCTGGAGCAAACGGCGCTGTCTGGTGAAGCAATTTCTTAGCGTTGCAATGCTGGGACTGCAGAACCTGTTTCTCTTTGGTTTGGCAGGCTACAGCACAAGCTGTAAGGGCACGTTCGCACTGCGACCCAGGCACAGCACCAGAGCCTGTCCTCCGTCAAGTGCATCTCCGGGATTGAACCTCAGGGTGAATTTGAAGGATTTCTGCTCACTCTGTACTGAATCCTTGGCTGAATCAGTGAAATAGTTCAGAGCCCATAGTACTTTTGCTGCTTTTCTACACAGACTTACCAAAGGGTACCATAAATTGGATTATTTGGTATTTACAGGCTTTGACAGAGATGCACAGTTAATACAGAACTCACTCCACTGTTTTCTTTCTGTTATGACCTGGACATAAGTACAGAAGTCTATACAGAAACCTTTTCCTCATATCGCCTCCAAATACTTCCTCAAAAATGTTTTAGTAACCCGATTCGCCAAGAAAGCCCTAGTCAATGTTTCATTTGGAAGGCTCTTCAGTCCTTTGAACATTACAAAATTCCCTGTTGATGCTAGCAGGGTTCACAGTCTACTCCCAGTTAAGGATGTCTGTGATTTATGGAGCTCTTAAGACAAAGAGCGTGTCTTCACTTGTTTTCCATTTGTTTGCAAAATTCACTTCCCAGTGCTCCCATGCCCAGCACTGTCCTCATCCTGTGCAATTTGGGAGAGGAGTCCCTGGACTGAGTAAATTGAATATGCAATAAACCAAGATGAACATACACATGCAATACGGATTTTCTTGGGTGCCTTTCAAGGCAGCTGTGCAGTCACCCACGTCCCTGGATGGCACGTAAGCTTCGGCACGTTTTCACCGATACCCCTTCTCACACATTTGCCTTTAAAGATAGACTTGTGGATAATGCGCAGCCTGGTTTCATGCCCTATTGAGGCAAAGCTTCTCAGAACATCCAAGGAACAATAATGCGGTATTTCTTGATTACCTAAGCACATAAATGTGCAGACTAATTTAAAAAAAAAAAACAATCAGCCAGTGTTTTTGGCTTGTTTAAGGAATTTACGTCACATAGAAATACAGCACTGCTTTGAAGTTCCTGGCCACTGCACTTGCACCTTCTCTCATCTAGGGTGACTGGGCTGGAGCCCACTGGAAGGTGCTGGGCCCAGCACCATCGGGTCTGCAAAACACAGCCTTCCCACCCCCCGCCCCGCGTTTCAAAGAGTCATCACTTTTTCAAAAGCCGTTCCCGCTTGGATGGCACAGCACATAGCATATACGAGAGTATTCTCTGATAATCGTAAGGATAGTAATAACAAAAAGTAGGATAATCACCAGGCTGTGTCTTAGTGAGCACGCTTGCCGTTCCTTGTTGAAACTGGTCTCAGATTCATTTGCTACGGGGCTCTTAAAACTAGATATTCCCCACGGGGAGGCTTAGTCACAGCAAGATAGATTCTGCTCTTAACTGATCTGCCTGCAAAAGAAAAAGCGGCTGTTTCAAAAGAGACCCTGCTGGAAACACTTCAAGACTAAAGCACCTCAGATGAAAGAGTGGAGAAGTTCTCTGTGACAGATCCCATCCGATCAAGAGCCTGGCCTAGCAAACGGTCACTGTTCTCGGGAAATATTTTGCACTGTTGCACAGGCATCTGTCTAAAATCTCAGAGTGCTTTATAAATATTAACATAGAACAAGTTGCGTTATGTTAACCTCTTTCATGGAGACGGGAAGTTTGTCATGGAGAATATCAGCAGCTCTTCTGAGTCATAGCCAGCTCATGCCACAACCAGGATTAGGAGCAAAATTTCTTAATACCTGGCTCCATCTTTTAAGCCAAAAATTATTCTGCCCTTTTCTGTAGTTGCCTTTTGAAATACCAGCTAGCAGTGAAAAAAGCTAAATGGGTGTTTCTTTTTAAAATTTATGAGGATCGCAGAGAAGGAAAATGCAGTGCTCAAAGTTTGGAGTGGTTGTCTCCTTTCCATTCTTTGCACCGGCCAATGCGTGCCACTTTATACAACTAAGATCTCACCACAGCTTCTTCATGGTGATACTCAGCTTCCTTGCTTTCCCATGATACGTTTAGAAATATCAATTTGTTCCTGGTTTGCGAATGGACAGAAAGGAAGAATGGTAATACATGGAGGCTCAGATGCTCTTCAGCTGCACCAAGGAACTAATAAAGCTCATTACAGACAGCTGAAACACCAGAAAAGCTGATCTTTAAAGGACTTATCCCAACATTGTAACT